TGAATCTAATGGAGATCTTGAATTCTCACTCTGCTTCCCAGTTACATATGAGAATGAGTTTGGTGGGAATAGAAACCCCACGTTGGAGCCTATACTTTACAAAGTACTTAAAGAATTAAAATTGGCCTGCTCTGAATATGGACCTCTAGCTCCTTACACGCAAACCTTGGTAGAAACCCTAGCCAGTAAATGGATGACTCCTTATGATTGGTCACAGGTTTGTAAAGCCTGTCTCTCAGGAGGCGATTACTTATTATGGAAAACTGAATATGATGATCTTGCTAAGAGAGCTGAAGCCACTAGCAAAAATTCTAGAGGAGGAATAGGCCTAGACATGATATTAGGAGAAGGTGATTTTATTATGGCTCAGGAGCAAATGTATATGCCCAAAGAGGCACTTACTAAAGTAAACAGTTGTGCAGTAAATGCCTGGAAATCCCTACCTTGTACAGCAGGAAAAACAAGTACCCTTACAGAGGTTAAACAGAAGGTCAAGGAACCGTATCAGGATTTCCTTTCTCACCTCATACAGGCAGTCAAGCGAGTAATCAATAATGACGAGACAGCCGATATCCTAATTAAACAACTGGCTTTTGAAAATGCTAATAATACCTGTCAGGCTTTATTAAGGCCGATTCACAGAACAGGAACTATAAATGATTTTATAAAACAGTGTGCCGATGTAAGTCCAGCATTTATACAGGTTGTAGCTATAGCTGCAGCCCTCAAGGGGGAGACATACCCTCAATATGTACAGGGCACAGGACAAGCCAGCAATAATACAGATAATAAAAGAAATATGAACTGCTACTCTTGTGGCCAATCTGGGCACTTCAGCAGAGAATGCCCAACTGAAAATAATAATACTCAGGCCAGATGGCGAGCTCCTCAACAGCCTGCACATACATCAGGGAATAATATTAATCCTCTAAAAACTGTTTGCCCCCAATGTCAGAAAGGATTCCATTGGGCAAAGAAATGTAGATCAAAATACCATAAAAATGGTCAGCCTTTAAACTTTACAAACCACTCCCAAGGAGGTTCTATCCCATCACCTCAATCAGGAAACTTGAGAGGGGGCCAGCCCTAGACCCCTGCAATAATAGGGGCATCAACCCTCAACCCCTTTGCAAATTTCAATCAGTCAGCGACCTCTTCAGGGCCACCCAGGCAGTGCAGGATTAGACCTCCGTTCCACCACGCACGCAATACTAACCCCAGACTTGCCAGTAGCAGCCATTCCTACAGGAGTGTCTGGGCCGCTGCCTGAGGGAACTGTAGGTTTAATATTAGGATGGAGCTCCACCTCATTACAGGGGATCTTAGTCAATTGCAACAGGTTCCCTTTAACTTGTACACTGACTCTCAATATATTGTTAAGTTATTTCTTCATATTGAGACCGCCTCTCTCCCACAAGGAAGAGCAGCCATTTTCTCTTTGTTAACTCAGCTACAAACTTACATTCATAAATGAGAAAAGGCTTTCTATATTGGACATATTAGAGCTCATTCCTGCCTACCAGGACCCTTAAGCGGAGG